ATTTTTTTTGTTGACAAAATTGTGTATGTCCATTTATCCTCGCGCATCGGGCACGTGTTCATAGTACACGTTTAGCTTCCGCCTCCCCCCGGGATGTAACCTCTTGCGAGAATCCTCCATTTTGAGAAGTCAGCCAGCTCCTGCCCGCACAGAACTGTGTGCACAAATTGTCGCCAAAACGACTGTCAAAATTGCCGCCAAAATTGCCTATTTATCGCTTTACCAGTTTGGTACCCCTTTGCCTCTACTCCCCTTCACGAAAACGGAAAACAAAAAAAAGGGGGGGGCGAACGAAGTGGAACTTTACACCCTGAATGAGATGCGTCACGATAAGGGCAGGCCACCTTGCGCGCGTACTTATATGTAACAGTTACGTGAGCAATTAGCATGCTGTTGCGTTGCTGGTTTTTTTCCCAACACGCAGGAAAACCTTAACCATATATTATTTTTTTATATAAGGCACCGCGCGCGGTTATACATACGCGCAAAGAAAAGGTGTCATGAGCGCAATTCCCTTCTTGAGCTGTGGGACACGCTCCACCCCAAGGGGGAACAAATTTTAAGAACACGTTTCTCGCCAAAAGAAAAGTAAAAAAAAAAAAAGTAGCCAACATCATATAGCACTCTGCCAATGCAGTCCTACTGCGTGATTGCCCTTTTCCTAACCTACCCACGCAAGATAAGCATACAGGCTATTATGTGCACATGTTTATGTATTTAAGAACTTAACCAAGCGCTGCATTCCCCCTGCATTAGGTGAGCTCCATATGCTGCATGTGCTTCATTGTGCCTCATGTGCCACATCTGCTTCATATGCCCCGTTCCCATTGACGTCTCGAAAAAAAAGAGGGTGATTTTTATCTAAGGGAGGATTGCCTCCTCTTTCTTTTCCCTTTTCGCCGTGTCAGGCGGCCCCAAAAGAACAGTTCTCATCACATTTCTTTGCGCGCCCCTTTGATCTTCCTTTTCTGCGCCGTTTGAAAACACTTCGCTTTTTTCCCCACGAAGGAGGAGGTGGGGAATGCCCAAGTTGATGCGAAGCCAATCGGCGCGTAAAAATAAAAAAAATAACAGGGTAATAAAATAAAAAAATAAGTGCGAAAAAATACAAAACAAAAACAAAACAAAAACGAAACATAAACGAAGCGAAAACGAAACAGAAACAAAACAAAACGAAACAAAAACGAAATAGAAACAAAACAAAACGAGAAACAAAGGAATGCAAGAAGAAACAAATCTTCGTTCCCCATTTTTTACGTCTCTTCTCCCCTGTCACAGCCCTCTCTCAGTTTACACGCCTTTTTTAGTGATTCCTTCAAAATGAACGCCCGCCAGTAGCATAAGAAAAGAAGAAAAAAAAAACCTTCTTGCTTCTCACCATGCGACATTTCACGTACGCGTATGCGCAAGTCCCTGCATATGCCCATTTTTTTACCCATACGTATTCGCGCGCGGGCGAATGGCCTGCGGCGAAAAGTATGCTATCTGTGTGCCCTCACTTGGGGGAGGAAGTAACTATAAGTACGTGACACAGCTTTGTGTCAAGCGTACATAGATATATGCCAGCCCATCCACACATACCCCGCATTTCTTCAACCCCGCGGAGGAGATGCTATTCCAAGGCGACGTTGAGTATAGAGGCCTTTATTTCTTTATCCTAACCATCGTTATTTTAACCCCCCACCGCTCTTTTCCTATTCGGTGAAAATTTCACACATTGTATGCATTTATATGTTTGAGATGCCTGCAGTGGGCATCAGTTTGTTCTGTTTGTCACCCCCATGTACCCCCCTAAACATCGTTTTATCTTTTGCGTTTTTTCTTTTTTTTTTTTTTTTTTTTTTCTTTTTTCCTGGGCACTTGCC